GTTTAATAGGTATTGCATGATTGGTGGGCAGGGTCAAAAAGGGATTATTATAATGACATGGCACCTCGGAACTAAGTGTTAACCCTTTTTTGAGAAATCATGCTCAAGTATATGAACCCAAATTGCATATTAAATAAGTTTACAAGAACCACTAAAATTAATCTTAATCTTTTTTTAAGAAATTTTACTTACCTAAATACATGTAGGTACTTAGTTTTAGACCAAATTACTTCCCAAAAATGGCCTTTTATTATTATCTATGTCTGTAATTTTTAATTTACTTCAATTATTAAGTTTAATAATCCTAAGATTTGCCTACGCCCATGGACGACAACGAAATTCAGGCAAATTTTATGACACTTCATGATTTATTACTCTACACTCTTTTGAAATGGACTATAGTACCTAAATAAACCACAATGTCATGAAATGAAAGACCATGTCAAATTAAGTTAGGTTAGTTAGGATAGGTTAGATTTCAAATTAAAATTTTGGGTGGCATAAAATATTCATTTTGTTGTTTATCTGAATGCAAAAAAACTCAAAAGAAATATGTAGGTTGTTTATTGTCAAAAAAATGATATATAAGGATGATAAATTATTAATTCAGGTGATCGAATTATGATAGTAAATTCATATATGTACACAAAAAGTAATTCGACTTTGTTTCAAATTCAAACGATACATTCTTTCTTGAGATGCAAGAAACATGCTCCGTTGCCTTGTTTCTGACCGCCCAACAACACAACCAACAAGGCTGGACTATTAGCACTCTCATACATTTCCTTTACCCACTTATCCACATTTTTAAATATCTTACAACTATTCCCTTCCAACTGGTTGTCAGCGACCCTCACATGAGCGATATTCAATGAGTGGTCCTTAAGCGATCCACAGAATTTTTTAACAACTTCCCTGTTCGACTTCTCAGAACTACAAGTTATGTTTTTAACCTCCACGTCTGTACCCTTATCAACATAAAATTTGTACTTCAGACCAATATCTGCCAAACCCACAACGTTTGCTTTTTTGTCGATTTTAACACACTGCCTCAGCATACTTGTAGCATAATGGGACGTTCCCATATCTGGGTAAGTTCGTAGTTCATTTTGCACACCACCCATCACAGCGTCGCCGAAGTAGAGGTGTTTTTTCAGCCGGAGTTGAACTAGTTTCATGCAGGCTAAACTGTCTTCTGTTGAGCAATGCCCCTTTGAGCTGATTTGGATTTTTTCTTGCAGAAATTCTCTAGCTAAAACTTGAAGTTTAGTTTTTCGTGTCCTGTCCCCAGTGATGTTGAATATAACACTGAAAATGAGGAATAAATTATTAATGATACATCAAAGAAAATTTCAGAAAGACTGGTGAAAATAAACTATTCAACTATAAACTTGTTTTTCTTAATAAAGTCACTGCTTCTGGAAACATTTTTTTAAAATTTGGTTTTAGATATCAAGCTTACAACAGTTTTGTTACTTTTACAAGTAATTCACAAATAGTTATCGACGGTCTTTCAAAACATCTTCCAAAATGAATGCAAATATTGATTATTCAAATGAAGTTCTTATGAAATTATTTATTACATAAGGACAGTGTGATCAAATCATTGCCAGAACTTGCAGAAAATTCAATTAAACGTATCCTGAATTAACACCAATGAACGAGATTAAGTTTGTAAGATTACAAAATAATGGCTCAAAGTTAAAAGCACCTTCAACATGATCAAAACCTGTTACTTTAAATGAGGACAATACTGTAAATGTTTTGGCATATTTTAATGCATAGCCAGAAGCTTCCATTCGCAGTGCGGAAAAAGATTTGGGTGTATCACATGCTTCAGTACAACGAATTTTGAAAAATCACGGAATGCAACCGTATAAATTTACCAAAGTTCAAGCTCTAAAAGCAGAAGACTTCGAACGTAGAATGCATTTTTGTGAATCCCTTTTGATTCATACACAGGAAGATAGGGAATTTTTGTCAAAACTAATTTGAAGCAACGAATCAAATTTAACGAGAAATGGCATTTTTAATAGAATGATAAACATTTTTGAGCTGATTATAATCCTCACGTATAACAAAAGAAATGGGTTTCCAAGAAAAATTTTACCTGAATGTTTTCTGTATTTTGAAGAATAATAAAATTATCTTATTTATTTACGAATACTAACTAAATGCAGAGAGATATCTCCAAATATTAAGGACGACTGTTACCGGATTTCCTCAAAAATTTGCCTTCAGAGGAATATAGGAATTTGTGGATTCAACTGGACAGAGCACCATCTCATTCCATCCAGCAAGTTTCTAGGAAACTTTACCAAATATTTGCCGATCGTTGGTTCATGCGTTTAGGGCCGTGGGATTGACCACCGAGATCACCCGACCTCACGCCACTTGACTTTCTTTTATGGGTGTTTTAAAAGAAAGGGTGTACAGTACTCCAGTGCTTACCAAAGAAGAACTGCGACGGCGAATAGTGCAGTGTATTGAAGATATAGATCCCCATGAAATTGAAAAAGACACCACAAGCCCCATACAAAAAAAACATTTTTACTGTTTAGAATGTAATGGACAACATGTTCAGAATTTATTGTAGAAACGTGATTTTTTGTTGACAATTTTGTTGTTTTCAATCATCCTAATTCTGTTATTTTCTGTACTTTAACATGTTATAGCCCAGAAAATCTTAATTTTTGCCTAGAAATTCCTGATTTTTGGTACAGTTGTTCTCTGGAAACTTTGAGCCATAGTTGAGGAAATTATTTTGTAACCATACAAACTTCTTCTCGTTCGTTAGTGTTAATTCAGGATACATTTGGTAAATTTTTTGCAAGTTCTGACAACGATTTGATCACTTTATTGATGTGTAATGAATAATTGCATGAGAACTTCGTTTGTTCGAAGGTGGTTGACAATGTTTCGTGGTGTATTTCATCATCAATAAGAACTTCGTTTGAATAATCGATATTTGCATTCATTTTGAAAGATGTTTTGAAACATCGTCGATAACTATTTGTAAATTACTTATAAAAATAACCAAACTGTCATAAGCTTGATATTTATAACCAAATTCTTAAAAAAATAATGTTTCCAGAAGTGACTTTATTAAGACATAATATAGGGACACGATATATGATCTTGAAGCATTTTTATCATCTTTTAATTTATCGAGTAATATACAGTAATATACATGTGAAAAAATTCACTTTTGACCACTTTTATGTGTAATGGAAATAATAGTAATAATTTTAGCAAGTTTGTCCAATCTATCATCAAAATATTAACTTTTCATGAATTGAGAATACTGATGGACTTAAGTTCAATTAGGGCTATGTTTTGGATCATATAATTAGCACAAATTATTTTTTATCTCGAAAACCGACAGAGATAGGTATAGAACATTATTAACAAAAAAGTATTATAATGAAAGAGCAATTCCAAAAATGTGTTAATATACGAGGTAATCTATTTAAAACAATTAAGTTGCTAAGACTTTTTGATAGAAGGAGATGTAAGATGTGAAATTTTCAGAAAAATCCTGCTTTGCTTTTACCATAAACATCTAACCTACCATCGACCGTGAGTCATGCTGTATATTATAAAAGAAAGAAAAAAATTAACTGTATGTCAACATTTCTTGTCTAAAGACAGAGAAGTAGGAAAGCAAAATACTTCATCTTATTTGGACAAATCACTGACTTTTATGTTTTGCACAAATTTTTTTTCAAATAGCTCAAAATTTGTTTCTGCGGGTACATCAAATTTGTCTGAATTTCTGACTGTAAACAGTTTTTCAATTGTCATACAAGGGAATAAACTCTATGAGTTATTTATCGATCTCTTAGATAGTACCTTATTATAGAGGGGTATGTCATGGTTATTCTTGGACACTATGTTTTCAAAAGAATTCATGACTAGCATTTCAACTACAGTGAGAATTGTGTTCGCTCAATTACAACAATCAAAAATAAACCAAAAATAAACATTTATATATAACATATACAAATCTGGCAACTAGTATGTCATAAAAGATTTTTTTCCAATTCGTAAAATGGGGCATGTTGTTATAAAAATAATGACCACAATAATATGTTGTTATAGAAAGAATTTACAAAATATTCTCAAAGATTCTATACAAAATTTGAATGATCTAAAACGACAAACAAAAACAGAAATACTCACCTGGTATCTATAATATAAGGATGCATCATTTTCAGAGCATGTAAATCATTGGATATCGATTGACCAATTAATATAGCATCAGGCGGTAACAAGTTCTTCAAATCGTTCTGGACATCTTTCAACTTCTTTGTAACATTTTTCATCATTTTTTGATTAATACCTGACCACCTAGTTAAGTAATCGACGATCTGATTGTCTGGTTTCACAAGAGTATCGTAGAAAACTTGTAAATTTTCATTGACTGCTGATATTCTTGTTAGTTCTAGGTCGCCTGGAAATCGAAATAAAAGAACGTTCTCAACTGCACGAGTACCCATCTCAAGTTCTTACCTGTGGAGGTCCTACACATCTCACAATCTATTGCAATAATTGGACTAAATGGTGTTATGTATTTGTACTTGTCCTTAGTTAAAACATATCCTGCATACTTTCTTTCCATCAAACCTTTTATTGGGAGCGGTAGATTTTCTTCTATCATCTGCCATCCGGAGAGTAGCAGCTGTGTTCTAGGAAACTTATCACTAGAAGGTAGTTTACCGTTATTCGACGGGCTGGAAGATTCTTCAGGTTCTTCGATTGGAAAAAAGTTTCTGACGGTGTCAAACAGTTCTTCGCTTTTAGTGACAGCAGATTCTAATGTTCCGAAATTAGTTTGGAATTTTTTCATTTGGGTACCTGTTGAAATGATTTAATATAAACGGAATGCATATTAGAGAACTACTGAATATTAAACACTGAGATGTAATAAAGCAGAACACTTTAAATAAACATTAAACGAACATTTCACCAGAAATAACTCTCAACTACAGCAACCTTATAGTAGATTGACAGTATCACAGAATCACTCCATCACTTTTTTTTTCAGAAGCTTCCGTAAATAATCATTTTTTTGCTATGGTTCATTTCAGATAACACTCTGTAGATTTTCACGCAAAACAAACTAACTTCTCGGGGAATATAATGATTTTAAGAGTGATTATGTTGCAATGGGTTCCTCTAATTTCATTATTTTCATGAAATATCTTCGGTCTTCTATTTTCATTAGTTTTTGAAAAAACCAACTAAAGATGAATGACAAAACCTAACTGTTTTGCCTTTACTGTAACAATAAATAGACAAAACTACATTTCCCTTACTATTTTTCACACTTATGTACTATTACTATCAGCTAGATGTGAGTTAAAAGTATATAAATAAGAAAGGCAAACATAAGCTGATCAACCACAATCTTTTCAGTCTTCTTAAATTAACCCAAAGAAGAATTGAAAAGTTGTAAATCCACATTGTGAGTGTTAACAAAATTCTACCTATAGACTCATTCTGGCCATAGTTAGTATGATGAAAAGGTACTTTGAAAATTTCTGTATTTCTTTTTCTCTTTGCATTCACATTCAAAGTTATAAGTTCAACAAGTTCCGGGGAATTCATGTTACCATTTTACTTCTGTAAAGGTCATACATATTGAATGTGTGATATATCAATATATTTTCAAATAAAATTTAACCCCACATCAGTGAACTAATTGGGGCTGTACAAAAGCTTCAACACATCACAAATGCACATGAACTCCTAACTCAGATATTTTAGGAAAAAGTTTGTAGGGTATTGTTCTATTCCTTCCCGACTTTTTCTTATGTTTCATCTTTTCTCGGATGTGTTTTCATATTTGTATTCCTAAATGATATCACACGTTGATCCTTTACTCTTCGCTCGCTTCTCAAAAGTTACAACTGTTTTGACTCCACTCATTTTTTTCTGTTTTTTTTAATTCCAATGAATGTACTGCTCATTTACTTCAACATTAAAAATTTTTCTTTGACTTACAAGAATTGACATATTGAACATCCATACAATATTCAAGGTAGTTTGCTAACCCGTTGTGTGCAAACTAAGGATTTAGGTGTATTTTTTGACTCTAAAATGGCATTTGCCAATGACATAAACAAAACAGTTTCCAAAGCCAATAAAATGTTAGGATTTATCACACGAAATTGTCAAAACTTCACAAACATAAACGCCTTGAAGATATTATATTTCTTATATGTCAGATCCAAGCTTGAATACTGCTCAATTAGTTGGAGCCCCTACTACTTCTGTCATGATTACTCAATTGAAAAAGTTCAAAGAAAATTTTTGAAATTCTTGTACTTCAAAAACACTGGAATTTATCCAGCTAGGGGTTCTGACCACTATAGTTTTCTCAATTACTTCCAATTAATTTCTTTAGAAAAAAGGAGAAGATGTGCTTCAATAACCTTTTTGCATAAACTATTGCTCAGCCAAGTAGACTGCCATTTGCTCCTGTCAGAACTGAACTTTAGGGTGCCAAGAGCTCAGTCATGGCTGAATCTCACATTTCACTGCTCTGCAGCACGAACAAACATAATATTGCATTCTCCAATCAAATATATGTGTGAAAACTACAACTCAATATGCAACTTTTGCGATATTAATACTTGCTCGGCGAATCATATAAAAAAAAGTTGCAATGGAAATTTTGAAGTGATATCAAAACGGTTTTTTCTTTTTTTGTGTTGTGAGAGAGTCAATTATTATAACCACTCTTACCAAGTAGCGCAATGAATAGTTATACTATCAGTTTTTTTCTTTTGTTTTAGTTTTCTTTCTTTTGTTTTCTATTAGTTATATTATATTAGTTCTATTAGTTATAATCATTGTTATGTTATATTCATATAGCATATCTATTATCAGTACTGATGTATTTAATTGTCCTTTAATTTGGTGTTACCTGTTGCACAATAAATGATACTTACTATAACATAACTAAGTACGAACAGAGCACACAAAAAAAGATCTGTTTAAAATCTGTTTAAAATCTGTTTTTCCGTTAACCAGCCGTCGCACCCCTACGAACGACAATCCTCAGAAGTCGAAACTTGTGCGAGCTAAGAATTAACGAGGTCTTACCTTTTAACGTGTGATTCCTAACACTGGTTGGACGATAGCAAGTGAAGATCGATCGTTCAGACTAGGGCTTGAACCACCGTTTCTCTCCATGATACATTTTCATCTAGTATAAGAAGAAATTTTGCACTAGGAGAGCATTTAATATTTTCATTATTATATGTAACTGGATCTTTTGAATCAGTGAATAGAACTGGCAGATAGTTGATGAAAATACATATTAAAACTAATTAATACAGTTTATGGTATAATTTTTCACTATGAAGGGTTTTACAAAAACCGCGACACGTGTTTCGCTAAACAATAGCTTTCTCAGGCATAGACTAAAAGTTTAGCGAACCACATGTCGCAGCTTTTGTAAAACCCTTTATAGTGAAAATCATATAATAAACTGTACTAACTAGTTTTTTTTCCTTCTTTTGGATCAATTGATATAGACCTTTTTGATATGAACATACATGAAGATTTCTGAAAATTCAGTGTCATTTTATGGCATTGAAGCCATAAAGATATTTGGTCAACGTTTTTTTGAAATATTAATTTTGATTTCTTGTACACAATTTCCATTGTGAATTAAAGTAGTGTCATCAGCAAACATTTGTAATGTACCAAATAAATTTACTGTAGCCAAAGAATTGAAATATATAAGAAACAAAACAGGTTCAAGTATTGATCCTTGCGGTACCCCACAATTATTTTTTTTAACTTATTATGTTGCCAATATAGACATATTGCTTTACAAAGCACATGTGTGAAAATATAGAAATTAAATGTAAAGGTTTTCTTTGGAAGAAGATTACTCCACAAGAATGTATAGAATCACTTTGTTCATCTTTTTGTAATGAAGTAACAGTTATAATTGTTTGCACAATTATTTTTTCATAGTGTACGTCCGTCAGTGACGAACCTCATGAAGGATGATCAAAGCCAATTGTTATTCCAAAAATCATCCGTGTTGTGAACCTGATGATTGAAGAAAAATATCATGTGACATACCATGAGATAGAATTATTGGTATATTACACTACAGATGTCCTTAGAACTGGCAACTGAGCAACAATCTAGTTGTTTGAGTATTCATCGATGGTTTCTTCACAATCTTTGTCATTCTATAGCACGATAAAGATGTTGAGAACTTACACTCAACGGTTTCAGGGGTAGTGAAGATCAAAGGGGAGTGTGCAAATTCACTGCCCTTAAAAATTTAAAAACTGTATCTTTTCAGTGTATTTCGTCTAATATTCCTCTGGATAAATACCTAATAATGAATACTGCAGTCTCGGTAAAGGGATAAAGATGACTCATCTAGGTAGCATAAAAACAACCCTGCTGAGATATATTTACTTGATAAATTTCCTATGCACAAATATTGAATTATGTGATAGCTTTTGTTATCTACAGCACCTATCAACTTGAAAAATATTGGATTTATAACTGTGGAAAAAAACAAAAATTCATTTATCATGATATAATATCACAGCATAAGTTTTTCCTGGTAAATATGATAAAATCAAACTTACAACACAACTGATATTCTATAAAACTCTTATCTTCAGACTTGTAACACTCTACTTGAAATTGGGTGGATCACAGAAAAATAGACTGACAGATAAGATATGAATTGAGTGGTATTTCAATGGCTATTTCCATTGAATCATCTAAGAATATTGTATTTCCTAATAAGTACTTATTAGAGATGGAAATATTTATATATGAAAAATCAGATACTTTATCAACGTTTACAAATGACTAATCAAAGTAATTTGTTGAATCAGTTTTCTATTACAGATGTACATCTGTATAAAGGCATGTCTCCTACAAGAGTCACCTATTGAGTTTTTACAAAAAGTAGGAAAACAATATTTTTTTCTACTAACTGTTTTCAAACTATTTGATATGATCATTAAAAAATTGTTGAGAAGTAACACATTTTTCAATTCTTTTCTTAATTTCGCAGGTTATAGTAATTTTAATTTATCAAGGAGTTGAATAAACAGCTGGGAAAGAATGAAATTTTGTCATATATTTAGTTCAACTCGACAAGAGCTTTGCTGAATAGTGGAATAAGTTAGAAAGGCACTCCCATGATTTTTACTTATAATATTTGGACACTACCATACTTTGGAATAATAAAAACACTTGTGAGTTGCACAAAATAATCTCTACCGACTTGAAAAAAAAAATCAAAGATTGGTGTGATTCAAACATTTTCTCTTCTAACTTAACTGAAACAAATTTAATATCATTCAGATGCTCAATCAACGAACTTTTTTGGAGACAGATCACTGGAATCTAAAAATAACACTAAATTTCTAGGAGTCTTCATTGACCAGAATTTAAAACGTGTGGATCATGTTAAACAACTCACTAGAAAAGTCTCCTCTGGCTGTTGTGTGGTTAGAGTGATTTACAAAGAATTAGAGTTCAGCACTGCAAAGATGGCGTACTATGCACTCATAGATTGTCACTTAAGCTACGGAATATCATTTTGGGGAGCATGCAGTCCAACTTTATTCAAAAGTCTACTAATTTTACAGAAAAGGGCAATACGGTATATAGGAAACCTTAAACCAGGAGACACCTGTAGAAACTTCTCCAAAAAACATAATATTCTAACGGTAACCGCATTATTCATACTGGAATCTGTGTGTTTAATAAATAAGCATTCATTAAATTTTGCTGCATTCTCTTCCCATTGTAACACCCGAAACAGCAGACACTCTGAAACTCACTGTGCCAACTAAAAACATCACCAGAGGCTCTATATTTTACAATGGTGGAAAAATGTAGAATCATTTGCCTATGAACATAAGATCTGCCAATATAAATGACTTCCAATTCAGGAAGTGTCAAACAGTTTCTATCTGATTGGCCCTATTATACTTTGGATGAATATTTTTACGATAGCTTTTACCTGACTTACTCATATTTTTTATATTTATTCATTAAGGAGCTCCCAAGTTGTTACTTTTTATGTCTACTCTTTAATTCCGATTCCGTGTTAGGAATCACACATTAAAAGGTAAGACCTCGTTAGTCCTTAGCTCGCACAAGTTTCTCAACTTCTGAGAGTTGATGTTCGTATGGGGGCGACAGCTGATTAACGGAAAAATTGATTTTTTTAAACAGATAAACTTAACTTTTACTCTTTTATATATACATATCTTTTATATCCTTCATTTTAACATAGTTGTACCTATGCACCATTTTTATTTTTATTTCATTTTAATTTAATGTATTGCATTTTTTTAAGTATTCACAACCCAAGCTTTGTCTACAAGATTATGTCTTATGACAAGATGAAGTGCTTGTTTTGTCATTGTAATATTTGGAAAAATATTATCTACTACAAAATCGAGCTCTTTTCCCACCTCCAGTATAGTTCTTCACTAGAATCCATACTGGCTTGGACCTGTTAGATGATGATTAAAATTATTCGAAATGGTGCCATTTCTCTGAAATCTATAAATGGTTCTTTTTACTTTGACCAGATGTCTGTCCTCAAGGTCATCCATACTTTTTTTTCAGAATTGCAAGTCAATGTTTTCATTGAAAAGATTAGATTCATTTGGTATTTGACAACATTAATAAAGTAATTATAAGCTTCATTTGGATCATCCGTGGAATTAAGTAAACGCCAGCTATAATTATTTTGTCCATTTTTCAATGGTTTTCATCAGAGAAAATTCTCTTCTTGATTTTTACATTTTTACCTTTAATATTGTGAACCTTATGGTCAGATAATGCAGATGTAATCACTTTACATAAATATTTATTATAAAAGTTAATGAAAATATTATCCAGTAATGAAGCTGATCTAGGTGTTATTTTGATTGGCTCATTTATTTTTTTTGTATAGATTATTGGAGAATAGGAAATTGAGAATAGATTGTGTGTTTGTGCTGTCTGTATTGAAAATAATGATACTTAATCCTCCATAGGGTATAACTTTATACTTGTTACGTATGAGATTGTTCATTTCAGCAAGTAGTTGTAAAAATATACAGATATCTCCATTAGGAGTTCTGTATCACAGATTACAATGATTTTTAGTACCTTACAAATTATAGATGAGCATTCAATGATACTTTCACAACTTTGTTTGTTAATTTCAATTTCATTACAATTCAGATCACTTTTTGAAGAAATACAAGAATCTCCATCTATTTCACAATTTGAAAAACAATCTTTTGATAGCTGTTCAATTTTATAATATGCAGAGATCAAATATTTCTTCCAATGGAATAGGGATATAGTGATGGGGTTACGGGATCTAGAAAATGATATTACAAAGCATTGACTAGCATGAAGGAAGAATAATTTCACTCTTTACCAACGGTATAGAGAATCAATATGAGCCTGTATGGTAAGTTCAAGTCGAGAGTCTGCAAATATTAGTCAATTTGTTTACAAGATGACCTGTTATGTCACTGACAAATAGGTGTTCCTGTTATGTCACTGACAAACAGGTGTAATAACAGGAAGATACATTGAGAACCATGTGGAACGCCCAAGCTAACACTGATTGTCGTCCAAATGAACTGAAATCTCTCAATCCATTTCAGTACATGGAACCCAAATTCAAGAGCTTCTAGTTCAATTATAACTGTTCTATATATAAGTACACTATAACCTGTTTAGACTCCTCAAAAATCTCACTGATATCTCAGAGGGCTGCATCTTAAAAAATCTATCATTGAATAGGGCCCATTGAATAACACAAATTCATTTAATCTATGTTCATTGTTTCGAGTAACAAAATGTTTAAAAAATATTGAATTGATAGAAAATAAGCTTAACTTACCAGATAGAGGTACCATAGACAAATCCTTGACGATGTCACTATTATAAGATGCAGGAGTTATCATTTCCAACTTTTTATCAAATTTCGAGCTCAGAAACGGAAATAAACTCTCATGAGCAGTGAAATGGTACAGGGAGATATTTTCTATAATCAACAGATTTGTGTTTTCAAGCCTATTATACTTCTCTAAGGCACACCATCTTGCAGGGGAATAAGGGGAATGTACACCTATTTGTGAGTACATCAGCAAATGCTGCAGGTCAGAAAGAAATAATGGCACTCTATCATTAATATCCACTTTCAGACTGGAATTTTCTCCTAACTCTCGTAGCCTAAGTTGGGGAAGCTGGCGTATTTTCTGAGTCTTTTCACGAAGCATTTTCTTCAGTTCTATGAGTTCTAAGCCTTCTAATAACGGCCGGCCCGAGGGTCCCACACCTTGTGAGAGGGAAGGGGTTTCAGTTGGAGAACTTTCTTCAATCTCTTCACTGAAATCATAAAAACAGTTGAACCAGTCAAATTTTATTTTCTCTCGTATTACAGAATAAGTTAGGCTACCACCTAAAGTGCCGAGGCAATGGGTAAAAATAGTTTTTATTTTGCATACATATAATAACAGTTTGTATAAATTTATAGTTACATGATATTGTGGTTATTTCATATTGAATCAACACAGCTATTAAAACCTACCGTCTCCACAAAATGTTTTTGCAAACGAAAACACTGTCTCTCAACTCGGTTTTTGCTAACCAGGTTATCACCATCAGAAGATGACTGAAACTTTTTTAGTCCATTACCAATAATGCTGACTTGGTTAGCGAAATGTGTGTCGGAAGACAATATTTTTGTTTTGTGTGGAAAAAGTGTGTTATAGATTACCATCCCAGATTCAGATGAAAATTTTGCACAAAAGTACATTTATTACAACTACTCGTCTTCTAAATGAGCTACAGCTTCAGGAGACGTTTCGTTACTTTCCATTTGAAAACTCTTTCGTATAATGTGCATCGAGCAGAAGGTTAATATTTTTTTACAAATTAAGAAAAAATTATTTTGACTTTACAACCTTTTTTCAATCAAGAAAATGTATCATCACTTGAAAATTCTTCGCAGAAGTTCAAACAATATATATTTTTTGTTTATTTTGAGTTGCATCTATGTTGTGTTTTAATCATGTGTATTCATTAATTTGAGACGTTTATATGTATATGAGTAAACTTTTTGTATTGAATATGTTATTTCTAAATATTATGTACCTATTATTTATCAAAAAAGTCACAGAACACACCTATACAATTAATATTTATCAATAATTGAAAAAAATCTGTCTGGAAATATGTATTTGAAATAGTAAGTTGAAAAAATTGGTGTTTTTCAGAAAATTGAAATAACTATAACTCAAAAACTGGCTGGTGAAGTTAAATTTAAACAGGTGGTATTGTTATAGGGTTTTGAATTGCTGTGCCATCAGCACCAACATTGTTTTTTGAATCAAAGAGCAATTCAAACTAGTCACTTTGCTATGTTTGTTATATTTGTCAACAGACTTGTTTTTTTACAGTTCAATTTCAATTATATCTGAAATGTTGAGTTCATTTTATTTCTATATTGTCTCTGTTGAAAAATATTGGAAACCATTTATTTGGCTGTTCTCACCTTTATAATCATGTTGTTAAAAACAATTCCATGATTGATGTCCAGGTATGGATTTAGCAGTCTGGTAATTATTTCTGTAGTAATATCTTTTTTTTTTGAGTATATTTTTTCATATATTCACCAACAGGGTAAACATAAATATTTGCATTAGCCCTAATAAATAAAATCAAAATAAACTTAACCTCTACAATTCAACAGACATTAGGATCTTATGCAAAAATTGTCCTTAGTAGTTGAACTTTTTATCTTATAAGCCTAGATTGAAGGAGAAGAACGTGGTAATCTTTTGCATAGAATAGAACACTTGGTTGCGCCAACCCCGAGTAAGAACTCACCCTTCGAGGTCTCCAGTTTTTAAACGCTTTGGGCTAGGTTCTGTTTCAGGCTTCACAACAGGTATTACATTCTCCTCATTAGCAGTATGTTTATTTTTTTGTAATCGATCATATTCATTTAATTTTGCTATATCCAATAATGCTGCCATTTTTTTCTTCTTATTTTCGAGACGCAACTTCCTTTTCGATGTACCTGTCATACTTTCTCCATGAAATAATAACCAGTAACTGAAAGAAATGTCACATATACCTTATTTCTTATTAGGCTTACAAATTATGAGATTCTAGACTTCACCTAAATGTAATTAATTTTAAATGGTTTCTAAAAAATGTTATAGACACATTTATGAAAAATTTTAGATAGTCTCGTATCATGCCCAGTTTTGAAAAATTTGAACTGGAGAGAAATTGAGGTTAAAAACGAGACAAAAGAATTGGAAATATTTTTTTTAATGACAATATCAACTTACCTGGATCATTTGGTGAATGAAATATAGGCCAGGTAGTACAATCGTTAGAAATTATCGACTATAGTAATATCAATCATTAATATTTGAAAAACTATAGATAATTTCATTTTTATACATATATTTATAAATTATCCAAGTCAGGGTTGCCACTCGATATTTTATTTTCCTATTAAAATTTAGATAACCTATATTAAGGGATTTCTTAACTTTTGCTTGCTTATTTGTGTATGGCTCTGCTATCTTGAGCAATTTGCCAGTTTTTCGAGATTCGAAAATACTTAGGTTGGCAGCATTGCCTTGAGGAAGACAGCTGCACCCCAGGACGAATCTTCTGTTCACTATGAATAGGAGGAGTCTGGCCAAATGCAATGATTATGGACATACAGGATTGCTTACTTACATATATCGCCACGTTAAACAAGCGCCGAGTTGATGTGACGTAACACTGGTGACACTTTTAGTAGCTGCTATAAGACTGAGTGTTATTTTAACATTTTTTGAGGCTTATTTTCGGACAGTATTACATTTTTGTTGAAGTGACAGTTTTCATGAAAATAATAAAGAACTGATGAAACCTCTTACTTTTATAAAGGGCAAAATAGCTTGCCCTATCATCCACAAAAGAAGAATTTTTACCTAATATTAATCTACTTTTATCAAGTATTCAGTCCTATATGAAAGTAATATTTCAATAAGAGATTTACATGAAATTTGTTTATTTTAATTTAAATGTGCAGTATCGAATCAATCCAGTCACCAATGTTACGTCACGAGATCACGTGACGTGTCTAACAAAATCGCGAAAGTAAGCAATCCTGTATGTCCATAATCGTTAGGCCCTTACTACTCTGAGGTTGGGCGAAATGCGCCTGAATGAGAAGCAATTGCCATAGAAATTAGAGAGAGAGAGAGAAAGTTAGTCTGTGGTTTTACATAACCTTCAATTATTACAATTTTGTGTAACACCAATATCCAATGACTTTTATAAACCCTAAAGAAAAAGAACCCTCACATAATCAGGAAAATGAGAACTCGAACCAAAATGATAACCAACAACACAATTCAACCGAAGAAGACCTTAGTCAGTGGGGATATGACTTGTATCCAGATCGAAGGAAACCCCCAAAACCCGTATCTCTCGGAATTTCAGACTATTTAACAGGTAAAGGAACGGAGAACATTGACAAAATAAAGTGCGAACGAAATGTTTACAAATGCGTCAAGGAGAGTCCCTTGGTGAAACTGATGATGGGTGCATTAAGGGCATCTGGATGTGCAATCGATATTAGAAGACACATATCTTGTGAAGAGTGTGCTCCAACAGTCAGTGGGGGTTATGATCCTATTCTCAACCAGGTACTTTCATTCAGATTCATGCAAATCTGCAAATCTAGTGTGGTAATGAGACTTGTTATACTAAAGAACAACAAAATGAATTTCTTTGAAACACAGGGTCAAGTGAATCATTGTTTTCATCTCAAATCTTTTCTGAGTTTTAGTTGAGTTTGCATTAATATCAAAATATTAAGGCAATGAAATGGGTAATGCTGTGCTTACTGTCAATGGAGTCTCTGATTCAACAGTTTAAAATAAGATTATCATTGAAAACATCACAAAATTGATATTAATTTCCAAATATTTTTTCATTTGAAATTATTGAATTCCTTTTGAACAACTATATACTTTTTTTGCTATAATTATGGACTCTGGACTGACCATTCCAGTCGTTTTTATGCTCTTTGAGTCCTATACCAATTACCATTTTTCATTCCATCTCAATCAACGTAATCTTTGGAAAGTAGTGGGTGAATATGAAATTGAAGATTATTTGACCAAATGCTTGGTAAAGTTGTTGATACTGTCGAAGTTCTTCTTAGTGTTTCTTTAGTGTAAGTAATTATGGTTATTTTACCGATTCAGGTTGCAGACCAAAAAACATTGTTATTTCTATCTCTATTAAATATAGAAAACTTCATAGTTGTAAGAAGTTCAGTTATCATTGATATTGCTGACAACGAAAACAATTTATATTCAAATGAAAAAGAAAATAATTGGACAAAGATGTGGAAATTGAATATTTTTTATGAATAAATATCTTGGCAACCAACATCATTGATAATTATAATCCACAAACTGTATAAAAAAGTTCACACTTTAGAATATCCATGTCGCTTGTTGAAGTAAAAACCATCATCATTATAAACTAGTTCTTCGAAAATAGTTTCTGCGTGAGGAAAACAAATTTGGATGTGTTGATGGGACTGATCTGAACGAGTCCATCGTCCAATCTGTTGTTTGATTCAAAGTTTTTAAAAAGATGAAAGGAATTTTTTATGTTTCATATACACTTCCATTTGGTTTCATAACATTTCTGAATGTGATTCTGTTTAATAACAGCCACATTTATTTTTATTTTTTTTTCAAATAAGGACCTGTATTTTTCTTTGTGAAATTTTATAGCAATTCGTATCCTGCATTCGGCCATATATAAATGCTGTTGTATTATGAACTACTTTGTCCAAGACGATAAGATTTTACCTGAATACTCAATTCGTAAGATAATTTCACTTTTCCATTTTTTTGACTTCATTTTTCTTGCTTCGAGCCCAATTTTTTTATCTGATGTCGGAAAATACAATGCAAACTCAAATTCATGTTCTGAACCAGAGGCCTATTGCACGAATATTTAATTATAAATATTAAAATTACTTGTATTTGATTACTAACTCACATATATCGCTATAAAAGCATATTATTAAATTTTTTCAACATTCTTGAGAAAGCTTCAATCCTAACATTTTTTCAATTTCAGGTGGTCATATGTCAAAATACTGCTCGCAAAGAGGGTATAGTTCAAGCTGTCCTTACTCATGAACTGATTCATATGTTTGACTACTGTAGAAACAACCTGGACTTCAAGAATTTGGATCATTTGGCTTGCACAGAAATTCGGGCAGCGAATCTTGCCCACTGTAGTTTTTTATCCGCATGGTCAAGTGGAGATGCATCTCCTTTAAATATTAAAGAAGCTCACCAAATATGTGTCAAGAATAAAGCTTTGAGCTCTGTTGTTACATCTAGAAATGTTACACAACGGGAAGCAATGGAAGCTATAGAACGTGTGTTTCCTAAATGTTATTCTGATTTAGAACCAATTGGAAGAAGGCTACGTAGAAACTCTCATGATATGTATAGAGCATTTGAGGATGGGTTTTATTATGGTTATGATAATCCCTAAATTATTGATAGCATATTTATATTAGTTGTTGTTCTCATAAAATTTTAATATAATTTTATTTTTATTTCTGTACTTATTAGATCCTGAGATGATCCAAGAAATATTGTGTTCACAGATACTTATAAGAATAACCCCTGTGAGTAAAATTGAAAAAATCTCATGAGGTATTCCAATTGACAATTACTAGAAAATAATTCCAGCATAGTCCTGCTGCTGGATGAACGAGAAACATCTGCGAGACTAACCTTGATGAGGTATCTTAAGTAAGCGTCTGTTGGTTATAATTCAATATCCAGCGTGGTATTAACAAGAGAAGTAGTTGCTTTCCGGCAGGCATTTTCTAGATCCTTATGCAATAGGTAGTTGGGAGAGATGAATATTGATTTTCCAGTACGTATGTATCTCTCCTCGATACAGCCTTTAGACACAGTTTGGTCTCAACTGACAATAAGTCTTGATGGCTACAGAAAGTCATAGAGATCCACAAATGGTTCGAAAAGGATGAATGATGGTGTTTTCGAGTTACAGTTGCAAATAATCCATCAGAGACTATTGGAGCTAGAGAGATGAATAAATTGCAGCAAGATTAATTTTTCACTAGACCTTTATTTTATCATGAAGAACAAACAAACATTTGAGTAAATCTAGCTATTCAAATCTAATTAAAAATTCAAATATCTCGAGATCTATCTACTTTCTAAAATAATGATATATGAAATAATTTTTTTTTACCTATATCTGAATAAAAAGTACAAAAGGAATTATTGAATATCTGTTCATTCTGTCACAATAAGATCTCGTGTGCCCCTCTTTTACAAATGATCAACTTTAGCACCCCACCCCTTAATTCCAGATACCAAACGACATTTTACTGTGATCTTGTCAGAACAAATAACAGTTTGAAAGCACCAGTGTCAATACTTTGTAACAACTATAATTCAATATGTGATATGTGCGATATTATTCACAATTCTCAAAGTTTTATTATAAAATGTATTCTCATTAGAACCTTTTAACTGTTATCACTTTTTCTTTTCACTTCTTGTGATATATTTCTATTTCTACTTATTTTTCTTTCAGTTGTAGCAATCTTTTCTTTTTAACTAATTATACTGTTTTGCATATATTTTCGTCAACACCTTTGTACATTTTCTGCAACTGGGTGAATGCCTGTTGGAAATGAAGTGCTATCAATCAATCAATCAATAATATCTACAGAAAGTAGTGTGACTGAAATGTAGACATAATTTTGTTCGTTGAAAGTAAGACTATTTGAAAATTCTGACTAATGAACTCTCAATCGCCTAAAATCTATTGTGCTTCGACATAAAACCGCATAGCCGGCACCCGACTTACTTGACGCGCCAGATGCATTAACTGTACGTCACGTATTTTCAACTTCAATGAAATTGCTACTATAGAAATAATGTTTTCATTCAAATTGAATGAAAACATAATCAGTTTCTATCAAAATTTCTGAATATCATGTATATGAATTGTTGGTATTCAAGGTGGAGTTTGAATTGGAGGTTTTTCGTGAGGTTAAATGAATTGGTTTTTCATTACGATCTCTTGTATTAGTGAGTTTTATTTGAGTCTCGATGTTACTTTCATGGCTCCTTGAATTGGAGGTTTTTCGTGAGGTTAAATGAATTGGTTTTTCATTACGATCTCTTGTATTAGTGAGTTTTATTTGAGTCTCGATGTTACTTTCATGGCTGTTAGTTTTATCAAGACCTCAAAATTTCATCAATGATTTTCCATTTTTTAACGAGAATTTTATTGTTCAGCAATACCATGAGAGTAAACAGCATGATAAAACTACGAGTCCTACTGCTGGTTGCTCGATTGGTATTTCTCAAAAATAACAAAGTTTAAGTTTAAAAAGAATGAAAATTCATCTGAGAAAATTTTCAGGTTGAATGATATTCGTAAAGATTAATTTCTGAAAATATCAGTTGAATAAGCTCTATTAGCGGAATAACGAGAAATTTCAGCAAGAACATTTGTTTGAAAGTACCTATAATGTTATAATATATGAACAGAATATTTCAATGACTAAAATCGTATTTGTTGCTAATAGCCAAACTACTTAACGCGTCTAGATGCATCACCAATATGTCGCGTATTTTTTTCTATTTCATTGAAATTCAGAATAAAGTTTTTATTCTGATTGAAAATGTCTCATAGTACGAAATAGTTTCGATTATAATGCCATTGAAATGATATATGAATATCAAAGTAGTAAATTCATAAGTCTTATTACCAGTAAAATTAATATAAATTATGGAAAAGAATCTATAATGTGTAATAGGGTTATTGATCGTTTATAATGAACTACCAACTACTTTGAAACTTTCTGAAAATAATTTCTTTAAAGAACATTTGAATAAGAGAATACTTCTTTTTATTCAAATTATGGTATATATTTCGTGATTAGAAATAACTCGTCATCACATAATTAATTTTTATATTCAGTTAAGGTCCCTGTTATCAACATTTATGTTTCTTGAGGTCAACAAAGATTGATCAATACAGAAGCATAGATTGGCCACACTAGTTATTTTATTTTTCTTCAACTTAGAATTGTATATCTTTGGCATTTTACTCAGAATAATGAATTAATTTATTCATTGGCAGACAAGCCACTATACAGTAAATATACAGTGCATTTCTTTAATGTCCCCCACCTTTTATTTATTGAACGGGTCAACTCAAAAAATTGAAATTTAGGATAATGATATTAATGCATTAATACTTGATTTTGAAGTGGAATTGAAAGATGAAACTTTCAAGATGGCGACTGGGCGCCATCTGGGAAAAAATTAAATGGAAAGGGGGATCTTGTGACACATCTTTTTGAAGCTCCTGACGAATACTTCACAACCCTAGAATATAAAGTCAATATCTTGACCTACTACAAAATGGCGGAACATTTAACAATTTTCTGAAGACAAACAGAGTAATATCGATATTTTTAGAAATATTCTTTTTTTATCTGCCATATGGCAATTCCAACAACCCAATAAAGTTTGTTAAGTTATTTTTTGTTTATAATAACGTCAAAAAATATCACTACGACAATGAACATCATTGTTCAGTTACAATATTCTCATTTAGTTTTCGGTTTTACCGAAAGGGTTTTCAATGAACGTTTTCCGAATCGTCCTATCTGTAGAAAATATTTGAGGGAACTTGTATCCAAATTCACAACTACCGGTAGTGTACATCACAAAAAGCCCCCAGGTCATCCGTCCATTCCGGAAGAACAGCAAGTGCAAATAATTGGTGAGATGGTAGTAAATCCGGAACAGTCTACTTATTCTGTCGCGAATGTTTGAGGAGGTGTTTCCTTCTAATTTGTGGAGACTTTTGAAGAGGAATAGGTATCATCCGTACAAAATTTAAATGGTACACCAATTAACTGAAGATGACCCTGATCGAAGAACAGAATTCTACGAAATCATGAGGGAAACCATTGCAATGCATCCTACCTATCTCCACATTATTTCTTTCAGTGACAAATGTACATTTTTTTTAAACGGCAATGTTCACAGACAAAATTGCCATTATTGGAGTGACACCAACCCTCACGTTTTCCGGGAAACACATACCCAATATCCAGAAAAAATTAACGTTTGGGCAGGAGTATTGGGAAACCATACTGTATGACCTCTATTTATTGACCAAAATTTAACAGGAAACTTTATTTGAATATGCTGGAAACTACTGTTGACCCTCTCATCATTGAAATCATCGAAGCGACTCCTAATGAATTCGATATGGATATTGTATTCCAACAAGATGGAGCACCACCACATTACTCCAGACAAGTAAGAAACTATTTGGATACTACTTTTCCCGGTCGTTGGATTGGCCGTTGAGGTCCTACAGAATGGCCAGCCCGCTCGCCAGATTTGACACCTTTGGACTTTTTATGGGGCTATTTGAAGCGAAAGGAGTACGAAACTAAACCTGCTTCAATATTGAATATATGAAAGAGAATCATAAATATTTGTAGATATATTGACGTTACTTTGTTCAAAAATGTTCGGCGTGAAATATCGGATAGGCTGTTCATATGTCATGAAGTTCAAAGCAACCATTTCGAGCATCTTCTGAACTGACCTCAAGCTTATTACCTCATATTATGTAGTTGAATGTCAATATATTCAGGCAATTATTAAAAGTTCCGCCATTTTGTAGTCGTTGAAGATATGGACATTATATTCTAGGGTTGAGAAGCCTTTGTCAGGAGCTTCAAAAAGATGTGTCACAAGACCCCTCCCTCTGTCAATTTCACTTCAAAATAAAGTATTCATGCATTGATTTCATTATCCCAAATTTAAATTTTTTTAGTTGACCCGTTCAAAAAATAAAAGGGGAGAGGGAGACATTAAAGAAATGCACTGTATAAAGAGAGAGAATAATAAACTAAACAAAAAACTGGAACACCCAAAATACATGAATATTAGAATATCAATAAAGTAATCATAATAATCAGCAGATTCTTCTTAGTGGGGTAATATGTTTCACCTGAATTCTGAAATTGATTGATTAATCAAATCTATTGTTTGCCAGCCCGAGCATTCTATTAATTAATTAATTCAAGCCACAACCAGCACCATGGCGAAGAACCTTGAATAATCCTGACACTCTAATTCTCCTTGAATTCACATTCGAATTCTTCAGTTGCGTTGAACTTGGATAAATCATCATCATTTATGATTTTATGTAGAAGTCTTAAGTCAGTTATTGCTCGCCGGTGCTCTGAAGTAGATAAATTCAAAAGCAGCAGAATATCAGAGTATTCATAAGCGGTCCTCTGATATCTAAGCCTAAATACACATGACCTCAGCAATGTGTGATCAACATGAATACCATCAAGTTAAGTTAGGATTATATATTATGACATCTGAATTCTAAGTTATAATTTCTGAGACGATTGAGAATTATATGACGGATCTGATGAAATTTTCCAACCATAAATGTCATCTGCAGCCATTGCTGTCAACAGATCACGTTTCTTTTCTACCCCATTATTAGATATTCTAACCTATTACCTGTACAAAATGCTATTTTAGGCATACACCACCATATTTTTGATAAAGACGATAAAGTAAAACATTCCCAAGTTTTAGTAATAATACAACGAATTATATAAGTTCAGGTTGAAAATAATTATAAAAAACAGATTTAAAAAATATATTTTTGTAAAATGGACAACAATAATATTTAATTACAAAACAGCATTAACAAAATAAACAATAAAATTGATCTAGAGATGAGAGCTCCACAAAAATATTTATGAGAATTCATATTCGATTGAAATATGTTCTTAATAAAATTAATATTCAGTAATAGAATCAATTAAAGTCAGGACCCAAAAAGAATTTTTTTTTATAATATAGATTCAATATTTGAAAGAAAAATGAAACACCTCCCAAAAATAATTTCTAATCCTACCTGACACACATTTCAATTATAAATACCTAACTAAAAATAATTGTATATATTTTTTGTTGATCTCTCCAATAAAAATATCACAAGTGGTTAAACATGAGTTGGTGTAGAATATATTACCTGTCTCAGGATGGAATAAACATTGAACTAAATAATTATTTTCATCTAGATATGAAAATACATGTGATTAGAGGTATATATATTTCATTAGCTACTAGATAGATAAGTGAATCAATTCAATCTTCTGAATTTAAATTAATACTCCAGATCTCGATAAACATGTGAAAAGATAAACCCAATTTAAGATATTTTTTAAATGACAGTCTGGCAAATTCAAAACAAATTGACGTTGAAAGTGTTATGCACTGGCACTAATACAAAAATAAAATTAATCTAGAGAATGTGTATGTTATACCAATGACATGAACTCTTGTTTCTGTTTAAATATGGTAGTTTCTTAGGACAGTTATCATCTATGGCATTGGAAACATAAAATCGTAATATGGTTAATAGGCGAATGAAGTAGGAAAAATATACCAGTATATTACTTAAAACCATCTGTGTCATGTTTCATACTGCAGCCTTAAAAACTATTAGTGACACTAACATGAATGAGATAGAAGTTGTATATATAGTACTAATAGTTTTTGGAGAAGCCAAAATTGTTATATTTTTGTACATGCAATATTTGAAAAATTAAATTTGAAAATTTAAATTATACAAGGGTCACAAAAAGAATTCATTAACAGACATAAGAGACGAATGCAGAAACATAAAATTATTGTGTTGCCATACATTCAAAGAAATTCAACTTACAATTGAAATGAAATGTTGGTCGATTTCATTAAAATAATGCATGGTTGACTAAAAAGTGATAACTCGTATCTACCAATTTTCAGGAAATAGATGCAAACTTGGTAGTAATAGTTCATATGTCATTTTCAAATATGTTTAACAAAAACAAATCATTGCATAAAATAGCATCATTCTTTCTCTTAATTTTAAAAACTGTATTTGTCTATCCTGTGAAATTGTTTATTGGATGTAATGAACGATATAATCTGAATATCACTGGAGTTTTTTCCCACCAAACCGACATTGAATTTCAATGAAATATACACCATCAATGATTATAATACAAAACAAACAAAACTACTACTAGTTGAATCATATCGTCCAAAAATTGGGGAGAAATCAATATTCTATTTAGGCAATAAAATATATAATAATCTTCCAAAGAAATTAAAAAACAAAACTCAAATGCCCTACAATCAATTGATAAATTAGTATTTGAATAACTTGTTCAATTCCTATTTTAAATTTTATTCCCGTTGAAAACACTTTTGTTTCATGGGATTATTGAAGGTCATTATTATTATTAAGCTACAAGTCAAAACTTAAATTAATGCTGCATTATGATCAGTTATTTAAATAGTAGTTTTATCAACCCCTCTATTAATGTAGTCATTCTCGTGATAAAGAAACTTATAATTCTCTTATCTGTTGCACCCCTACGAACGACAACCCTCAGAAGTCGAAACTTGTGCAAGCTAAGGATTAACAAGGTCTTACCTTTTAACGTATGATTCCTAACACCTTTGTTTTTTTTTGTCAATTATTTGAAGAAAAAAATGTATTATTGAATATGACGATTATCTAAATTCAAAAAAGAATTACTAGGTTTCTCTAAACACCACTTCTGGTAACCCAAATATTACAAATAAAAAAGTATTGAATTGACACACAAAATAATTTTAACAAGTAAGTGCCCTTCACTGACCATATAATTTTCATTCATTAAAGCTACAGTTGAATTTTTTCTAACATCAAATATGGAATTGAAGCAACACTAATAGATTTAACCTCTATTCAAAATTGCTGCCAGCTCTCTCACATCGTTCACTTTTTCGTGCATGTAAGCTTTGGTTTCCCAAAGCATGCCAACAAGTTTCTCATCAGATTTTTCATCCATGGTAATATCCTCCGACAACTGTGGACAGAACCGGAAATATGGTACACCGATGGAAGAGCACCAAGCTCTAGCTCTATCTACTACTCTACCATCACTAGAAGTAGCCTGAAACACGTGTTTTCATGAATAATAAATTTGACGAATCAGTTAAATTATATGAGTAAGAAGCTTTTCCCAAAAAATACTGACTTGATCTGAAACCATCATTCACAAATAGGCACTCTTTTCGATCATTTTGGGTGTATTCAAAACTTCTCAACGCCTGTTTCTTTTATTCGAAATATTTTTAAATGACACGAAATAATATGTAAGGTTTCTTTTTTTAATTATTCGCAGTAAATAACAGTCCATATAACAAATTAGTGGTTTTTTATAACGTGTGCGGGTATATTTTTAAGGAGAGATTAATTTTTGGGAAAGAAACAAAATATGTGGGAAACTTCCAAAGAAAGGCAAGAAGCGATCAATTTCAAAAATTAACTCTATACAAAGATGTGCAGATCATGCATAGTTTAAACATGAAACAATTTCATGAAATGCAATATTTCACTAGCTTAATTCACCATTGCACGTTTTCCATTTAATCGCATGTTCATTTTGCTTCATTCTGGAAGTTTTCAGATACATTTCTCTCGATACCCTAATCTATCTATGAAGACAATCTTGGCCTTGCTTTGAAATGTCTATTGAGTGATTTATACTACGTGATTACTAATGAGATCTTTGCCGTGGCATAGGCGATTTAGGACTGTCAACTTTTAGGAGCTGCAGCTAGTAAAGCCACAGTGCATCACTGTTCTTGAAGTTGATCGATACTTTTCTTTGTCAAACTTTATCTTTTCCCGGCCACTGGCCAGTTATAACTTGATTCTGGCGAATTCAGATCATTTAAGTGCTCTATAGGTGACATCTCGTTAAATATCTTTATCAAATGCTATACCGAATATCAGGGAGACACATACAAAGACAGTCATTGATGTTACCATCACAGCTGTCAACTTTCTATCGAAATGAAAGTAAAATTATAATAACCAGCATATCCATAATCTTCTTAAGAGCATTGTATTCACGGATGAGGACTTGGTCCCAGTGCAATCTATCACAACCGTTCGGTACTTGTTACCAGATGAAGCTCCATCAAAGACCAGGGTTTATCGATGGTATGTCGAATTCAATCGTGGTCGTAGTTCACTCCAAGACGAATTTCGTGAAAGTCGTCCAAAATCAGTTGTTGTTCCGAAAACCACTGATACTGTGCGCGAACTGATATTGCAAGATCGTCATGTGACCTATTGTGAGATTGAGACAATCTTAGGTATTAGTGGGACCAGCATACATTCAATATTGCTAAACATTTAACTGTCAAAAAAATTTGTTACGGTTGGATCCCACACAATTTGTCAATCGCTCAAAAAAGGAATTTCACTAGTTCGGACTTCCATTGTCTACTATATAAAATGATTTGAAATCCCTGAAACAACTAAAAAAAAAATTAAAAATGAATAGCTGAAAACAACAATTACATTAAGCAAAAAAACCTGAAATGAAATAATAGTGAAATAAAATAGAACAATTGAACAAAAAATTAATAAAAATAAAGAAATAAAAAAGAAAATTAAAATAAAAAGTTGAGAGATT